GCCTGCTTCTCCCTCTCCCACTCCCCCTGCTTGTGTTCCCTCTCTCGCTGTGTCTCTGTCAAATAAATAAATAAAATCTTAAAAAAAAAAAAATTTACTATCATAAAGCTAGTATTAGTTTACTCCTTAATAATCCAATACCACAAAGCTAAAATACAACTTGCAATCAAGGTGACTTTTATATTTTGTCTTGTATTCATTTTTGAAGAAAAATGACCCTTCTTTAAGATAAATATGACAAGAGCCCAGTAACAGCAAAATCTTTTTTAACCCCTCTTAGAAATCACAAAGGAGGTACTAAATTCCTATTTAATTGCACATAGTTAATGAAAAAATATCTTTACTATGTTTTTACCTTGCTGTATTTTCTCAGTATCAGACAAATGCTTCTCTGAGATTCTTTTTCCTGTTACAAAGCTGTGGATCATTTTATTTTATTTTACTTTAATAGATTTAGTCCTTTTGAACTGGGAAATAGTTTAGATTTTCCAATTCCCCATGCGATCTAAAATGCTTAGTTTCAATAACTGATTCTCTAACAAATAATCTATTTTAGTTCTCAAAGTTAAATGAATGCCCAATTACTTCAGAAATAATTCCAAAAGTCAGTTTAAGTCAGTGATAATGTGGGGGGGGGGGGATTAAGTAGACATTAAGTAGAAAAATTAAGTAGACATTTTGAATCCTTTTCATTTAAAAAAACGATTCAAAACAGAAATAATTTTCTAAGCTCCTTTTCAAATGATTACACAGTTCAACATAAATCTCTTTCAGAAGAGGGTGTGTAATACTTACTGTAGTCAGGGGATTTGGGGTCGGTATGGGAAGCAAGCCTGCACCAGGCATTAGACTTGTCATGGTCGGAGCAGGAGCCAATAAAGAGAGGGCTTTGGATTCCTCTGGAATTTTACCTGCAGAGGCAAGTTCCAAACATTACGGAAAGCAGAAACACCACACAAACTTTACACTATGATTTTACAATTACCCTTGCACTTAAAAAATAATAATAATAAATGAATCTATCTATCAGATCTGTACAAAGAAATAAATAAGAACTTAAGTCTTTCCTTTTATCCTGCTCTACTAGGAAAAATAAAAGTGAGCAAAACTTCAAAGACTAACAATCTCATTAATGGAATATTATTTTAAAAATTGAATAATGTAGACAATTATTTAACACTTTGAGCTATGGGTCACCTGTACTGGAAACTTAATGTTCATGAACCAAACGATATCAAGCATGGACGCTTTCCCAGGACGGTGTTTTCGCGGTGATCGAAAGTTGTGTTACACATGACAACCGTTCGTGTTGGCTGCATCACTAATAGCACACAGAACATCAGATACAGAAAAGAAGAACATTTTTTAAAGTTTAATCCCCAGAAATGGCAAATAACCAAATTAGTCAAAAAAAAGAAAAAGAAAAAACAAATATGTGCGAATTGAAATTTGTTCCTTAATGAGTGCTCCTGGTTACTAAAACTACCTACTGGTGATGCAAACAGTTTTGATAACCTTCCAATAAATTCCATTCAATTTCAAGTAGACAGAAAAAACCAAAAGCCTATTCCATGTAATCAGCTTCAATTTAAAGGATGCCTACACCCAGCTGGTTAAAAAGACATCTCACCAACCAGGTCAGAGATGCCTAAAAGAATCCAATTCCAAAAACTATGCCTTGTGAAACTACTAAAATTTTTGAAAATCACTAACAAAAAAAGTTCCCTTGTCTCAGGAAACTTCTTAAAGTCCTGACTTTTAGAACCAATTTATGTATACTTATCTGAAGAAGGGGGTTAATGCCTAAATGTCTTGCTTATAAACATCTTAACTGCCTAATAAAAATGACAGTAACACTAAAATAATCTTAGACACTAAAAAGAAAAAAAAATCCTTACAACTAAAAAATGAAAAATTTATTCTAAAGTTCATCAATTTGCCTTTTAATTACTAGACTCTTATCAATTAATTTTGATATGAACTGCAACTTTCACACATTTTCCCTTTGTGTCCTCTCTTTCTTACTGACACCGCTAAAATTATCTCCTAGAAAGTTGACTACGTATATCTATTTTGGAAGAACTACTTATAGTTATATGTAGTTGGCTATCTATTTCCATTATGGAGTCCTGAAAAATAATTTAAAACACAGTGTACAAAGTCACACTAAATTGGAAATAGCATATGGAGTAAGTTTTCAAAAGCACCATGCTGGATTTTAGAAGTAAAAATTCTACTTAAAACAACCAGATGTGGAGGGATAAATCTCTAAACAATATTATCTGAATATACCTCTAAACATGGATGGAATTCAAGACAGCTTTTAAATTTTGCTTTAAATAATGGTTACACCTTATTTATAGGAACAGAAAAATTACATTTGATTAGCTTTAACAAATGTCTACTTTTTCCTAAATTTTGCAACATCTAAGTCTACATTAATTTACTGATTTCAAAAACAGTTATTTTATTATTTCAGTGTAAATTCTGCACAAGCACAGATTTTTTAACATGCATAAATAAAAGGTAGGTAGGCCTTACTGAAGACATCAAATAACAATTTATTTTATATTTATTAGTTACTGGTATTAATACATGTATCTATATACCCACCTATATATACTAAGCTATTTAGATTGCTACCAAACCCATTTTAACTGTTATAAATAGGTATTATTTTTAATGCTTATAAAACCTGAACACATCTTGATAAATTCGACTGAGGTCCTGTAGCATAAATCTTATGCTTTGTCACCCTAATTTATGTACCCAAAAAACAAACTAATTGTTTCAATTTATTAATGTCCCCAATTTAAGATTACTTGTCAATTAAGTAAGCAAAACTGCCCATAAAAGACAGTGTAGAAAGACTACACAAAATAAAAAATATTCAACACAGGCCAAAAGATGAATAATTAATATCATACTTTCACTTTTGGCTTAAAGAAAGTATCAATCAGTTATCTGACTCTCACTACCTCTCACAGTAGTAATAAACTATTATAAATATTAAGTCTAACTGTAAGCACATTTTTTATTTTAATTACCATTAAAGACATAAGAAAAAAGTTCCATTGCTTAACTCCCAAGACAGAATTCTATCAAATTTATCCTCCAAATACTACCAGAGTATATAAAAATATAAAACAAACAAGCATTTAGCATTTTTCCCAAACTATACTCCTCAAAGACAACTGAGAGGAAAAACATCTCTCAGAGTATTAATAGTCCTAATCTCAGAATCCATTTAGAAGCTAGTAACACCTGAAATTTTTTCAAAAAATTCAAGCAGAGAAATACACATGCCAAGTTAAGTTTTCAAAGTTTGTCCAATATCCATTCCCCACACAGGCAAGTAAAAGTCTTTGTAAGTCAAGGAAATAAGTTCTTTCTGTAGTAAATAAGTCAAAAAAGTGAATGTCTCTGCTTGTCCTCTATCCCTAGATTATTCTAAAAAATTTACTTATTTTCCTTGAGGATTCTGTATGTCTACAATTCTGGGGGGGGGGTGAAAATTAGAAGCTGTTAATTGGTTTTTATGAAAGATGTAGATTTGGGAGAAAAATCTGAAATGTTGCAATGAGGTCAGGAAATGTTCCTAAGAATTCTAACAGTGTTTTAGTGTTTCGAGAACAAAATGTACTATGCAGTCTATAAACACCAATTAAGACTCACACTGAGCTTCACAACACTGTATCCTAGGTTTACTATGAAAATTTATTTCACTCTGAGATTGAGCTCTGCTAATCATCTCCCAATATAATCTGCAAAGCAATGTTATGAACCCTTAATGGAATACCATTTACAAAGAACTGGAAAACCAGCTCACAAGTTAAAGTGAAAGAGATTTAACAAAACAAAAACAAAAACAAAAACAAAAAAAGGGACAAAATAAAGAAAAAGAAATGAAATTAAAGTAAAACAATAAAAAACAGAGACAGGGCGTCCATCTTCTGCGGTTCAGACTCCGATCTCATTTCCCCAATGAAGGTTTCACTTGACGGCAGGTTTAGTGGCATGGCAAACAATGCCTAACTCAGGCAAGTGTAACAGGTCTGCCTTGGCCAGTCTAGTCATCTAATAATGCACAAATATCACATAGAGAAAACATACAAAACCAAATTAATAGTCAAAATCCATCTACCAGAAAATGTGGACATAAAGTTACGACTGATGATTAGGCTTGACACCCTTGTTATGTTTGACCTTATCTTTTTCTAAGTGTTAACATTTATAAAAAAGAAATCTGAGATGCACGCAACAACAAAAAGAGGTCATATCTGGACAAGTATAATGAAAGCATATTTTATTTTGAAATGGCATGTTTTATTAACAATAGCTAATGCTTAATACGCATGAAACTCTTACACATCAAACATTACTTATACAGCTTAGGATCTTGTTACAAAACTACATTACAAAAACAGCAAATTGAAAGAAAATGAAAAAACTTTTCTTAAAACTGTTTCTATGGTTTTCTCATATCTTTCACAATGCTGTTTCTATAACATCAAAGAAAGAATGCAACCAGTGAAGTAAATAGAAGAATGCTTACAGCACCCCATCTTCCTCTAAAAGAACTTACTCCACTGGAACTCTTTCCTTTGGTTTATTTCAAACTCACTTTGCTATCTTTTTCAGTATAATAACACATTATTACTTTGCTTGTGGTGCATAATCAGATCTTTACAGCTCACTGTAACACTCCTCAGATTCTAAAAGGTTATTCGGTGGTATTTAGTTAAACTAATGAAAAATGTGTATCTGAATGTTTCTCTAATAGCAATTATTTTATCAGTGTTCTAAAACACTTACTTACAACTAAACTGCAATAAAAATGTGCTTAAACTTTCATGTTCAAAACCAGAGACTGTCTCAAAGTGGTAATATTAAAAATATTTAAGAGCTATTATAATAAATGTGTATTTATTAAGCTCTATTAAGTAAAACAGACAAAAAAGAGAAGCTCTACATGCCCATAACCCTGAACACTTATGACAAATCACAGTATGGGCTTCTCAAATATATGAAAAATTCTATGAAAATATAGCAAGGTTCCAACAAAGCAACACTGATAAAAAATTCTTCCTTCCAATTCAGTAAGCTAACATAATACAAGATCCTGCACTACTGGTAGCATAGTGTTCTATGATTAATATTCCCATTTAATAAAACTTCTGATTTTTTTCCCATGCAGTTTACCTGGTGTGAAACTGGTATGAACTTGGTATGCAGAACTAAACCATTTACCAGCTCTTTTCTCACCTTGCTCTCCAATTCTGGGCTCACTGTCCCCTTACAGATCAATAGATAAGGACAGATACAGCAAATAATTAACTTTAATCCATTTTTATTCTACCTTTCCCCAGGCATGGGAAAAATACTTCCAAATTCATCTGAGAAAAAATCCAGAATGTCCTATTCTGGGTCTTCAAAACCAAAAGAATGGTACCTACTGTATCTAACTGTAATGTTATTGACATCCCAGAATAGGCATTCTGAAATAAGCATCAAACTTTAAAAGTGCAGCACTGTGTACCATATATCAAGTTATTTTAATATTAGCCTGGTTTCTAAAAGAGGCTTTAAAACATTACATATGAAAGCTCCTTAAATTGTTCCAGGTAAATTTTTTACATTGTACAACAGTTACCACCATCCACCAGGGAAAACATACTTTAAGGACATTTAAATTACAATAACCTATTCTAAAATAAATGTACACACACCACAGTGTGTACTCTAAATAAAAGTTAACTACACACCAGAACTGTCAAATTCAGCACAGCCTATTATATGTGAATGGCTCTGTAAACGGAAATAACTAAAAAATAAGTATTGGTAATAATTAGCTCTTAAAGCAGGTTAAGTCTTAAATTAATTTAATAACTATAAGGCTTTTGGACTTGTTCCCATCTTCCACAACTATTTCCTTGATGGAAGCTTTGGAAAATTACTTTCCATTCAATTACACATCCCACCCCCCAAGAAAAGCAAGCCATTAAAAGAAAAAAATAAATTCCAGTTGCATAGCAATCACAATGAATATGCAATAATGGTGTCAATGACAAGGTGAATTACCTTAAGAGGATACTTCAGAGATTAAATTAAGAGTATTTTTCTAATGAACATAAATACCATTTAACCCCAAATTTGGCAAAATGTACAGTTTTTATTTATGTCATATCATTAATATTGTGTACACAGGGGCAAATGTTCACTTGTTTATAAATTTAAAATAACTTCCCCTACCAATTTAATATTTTAATTTCAGAAAGCTTTGTTTACAACTTGCAAATTGACTACAGAAAGCCAAAGCAAACCACAAGTCATTCATGAATTTTTTTAAATGTTTGGCTATTAAATCTCAAGCATACATAAGTAATAAATTAACCACTGTATTTTATTATTAGGTAAAAATTCTTTTCTTCTCCAAATTTCATTCTTAAACACACACACACAACAATGTACTATCTACCTACCAATTTCTAGGAAAGCCAAAGGTAGTAACACACAGGACAGAGATTAAAATAATAGGAAAAAACACGGGAGATACCAACCTTCTGCACAAGGTACAACTATCAGAGCTCTGTCAATAAAAACCGTGTTAGTTAGATGCTGGGCCACGCCAACACTTGATGGGTCACGAAACTTAACATAACATACTTTGGAAGAAAAAGCAAGAGGTGCGTTGCTGCAAGATAAAAAGAAAAACAATTGGACTAATAAACATTTGGTTGGTTTTGTCATTTTCATTTGAAATTTCTTTCTTAGATCTTCATATAATCTTACATAATCAAGACAAGAATTTTTATTGCTAAGGATCATTAGCACATAAAAAGATTTGCATTTTCATGTTTTTATTTAAATTCCAGTTGGTTAATATACAGTTACCATCAGTTTGTTCTCTATAGTTAAGAGTCTGTTTCTCGGTTTGCCTCCCTCTTTCTCCCCTTCGCTCATTTGCTATTTCTTAAATTCCACATATGAGTGAAATCATATGGTATTTGTCTTTCTCTAACTTATTTTGCATAGTATAAGCTTCTTTATCCATTCACCAATCAATGGACACTTGGGCTGTTTCCACATTTTGGCTCTAAACTTCGGGGTGCATGTATCCCTTTGAATTAGTATTTTTGTATTCTTTGGGTAAATACCTAGTAGTACAATTGCTGGGTGGAAGGGCAGTTCTATTTTTAACTTCTTGAGAATCCTCCATACTGTTTTCCAGAGTGGCTGTACTAGGCAAAACTTAAGTCTTTTCATGGTGATTCGTCTGCAAAAGTTGACAACAATCTAGGAAGGCCTATCGTTTTATTTGTAAAAACTGGAAATGTAAATTAACGAGTTCCTAAACAGAGCAAAATTGAAAACAGCAGATTTAACCCAAAAATATTCAGTCTATCATCTGAAGCAAAATCACTTTATAAAAGTCCCAATCCTCATGACTTCAAATTTTGTAACCATTTTCAACCCTTCCTAATGTGACTCCCCAGGTTTTAGATCACTAAAAACTTCACCAGAGTCTTGCAAACAGATAACACAGAATTAAAATTAAGGTCTTTCACATGTACTAGAGACTGCTTTAAGCTAGGCAGCATTGTGATTTTCCAGACAAAAGATTTTACAAACAAAATTTAACGTATTTTATATGCAAAAGAACATACTCTTCTAAATCGTACCAGATTCAGTTTAATCTAGGTAGACGTGTAGTAAGAAAACCACATAACACAGATGAAAGCAGTTTTTCCATAATATGAATCCATCTTGTTAGACTGCAAAATATACTATATTCACTGATGATCATTTTGTCAGTCTGTCCAAGATTATTTTCAATTAAAGTCTAAAATTGTCTTTAGCAAGAAAAAAAAACACCCAAACTAAATATACACCTACTATAGAATACACTCCTTTAAAGCATTAAGTTTTTTGTTTTTTTTTTAAAGATTTTATTTATTTGTGAGAGAGAGCACAAGCAGGGGCAGAGGCAGAGGGAGAAGCAGGCTCCCCGCTGAGCAGAGAGTCCGATGCGGGGCTCGATCCCAGGACCCTGGGATCATGACCTGAGCCGAAGGCAGACGCTAAACGACTGAGCCACCCAGGCGCCCCTAAAGCATTTAGATTTTTGACACTAAGAAAGAAGTGAGATGATCTGAAAAATATCATCTCTGCCTTGTACAGTAACAATTTAGTTTACAAAACAAGTCAAGAAAGTTGACCATAATCCTAGCCCTAGTAAATGGCAAAGGTGGGACTTAAAGTCTAATTATCTAAATCCAAATCTTGTGCAATCTTAATCATTCAACTAATCAAGAATTTTAAAAGCATTTTAGGGGTGCCTGGGTGGCTCAGTCAGTTAAGTGTCCGACTCTTGATTTGTGCTCAGGTCATGATCTCAGGGTTGTTGAGATTGAGCCCCATGTCAGGCTCCACACTAGGCATGAAGCCTGCTTGAGATGCTCTCCCTCCCTCTCCCATTCTCTCTAAAAAAAAAAAAAAAGGAATTTTAAAAGCATTTTAATGTACTATTTAATTAGCAATTCCAAATATTAGCCATTTTTAAAATAAAAAAAATCACATAAAGCAACAAATCCATCTTGATAACAGTTAAACATACAAATTTATGCTATTACCAAAACACTGTGACAATAAAACATATTAGCATTGAGAACTTGAAATTATTTATATTATTATTAACATAACTTGTCAGGGTAATGAAAGTTGACAAAATGAAACCACCTCTTTCTCACCCAACCCAGCTCAATTCACTCCTGCCTAAGGTTATCCAATGCAGGCTTCAACAGGCCCACTCCAATGATGCCTACTCCCCACCTCCCCACACAAACATCTAAGTCAAACACTTTATGAATTTGTCACTGAGGTAAAAACAGTCGTATCCACACTTAACTCACCTTCACATTACCAAATCTCCAATTTAGGCCTCTCTTGAGCTTTTGACTCCCAGATCCAAATGTCTGCTGGAATATTACTCCTTGATGGTCACAGGGCCCACCCCCAAAAAGTTATGGAGTCTAAAATAAATTCATCATCCTTCTTTCTCACCAGTCCTGGTGGTCATCCTCACTTCATCTCTCAGTTAAAAATACCACCATATTACTCAAGTCATAAATCTAGGAGTCATTAAATGTAACCATCATTAGTACCGTTCACTAAATACTTCCAAATCGCTTCTGGCTACATGGTAAAATTCCATTTCTTTGTTCCTTGAAGTCAGGTATGCCCAAGCAACTTGTTTTGGCCAATTATATATGAGCAGAACGGACATTCAGGAGCTTTAAGGGTCACTGCTTGGCTCTCTTCCTCTGCCACAGTGACCAGCAACATTTGAGAAATGGGTGGCTGCTACATCGGCTTTATCCCAAAGTGAGTGACCACAATAAGTAGAGTTCCCTACTCCACAAGCTTAGACTAAGAAATAATCTGGTTTTACACAACTACTGAGATTTGAGGGTGTTTCCATCCTTGGCCCTTCCCTCTTCATCCAAGTGGTCATTAAATCCTGTGAAGACTGTATCCCAAATATTTGTCACATGAATTCTTTTATCATTCTCACTATCAGGAGTTTAATTCAGGCCCTCATCATTTCTCACCCAGATTATTACAATGGCTCCTAAACAATCACAGTGACTCCAAACCCAACTCTTTAATAATGGTCTTTCACAAAAGCTGCCAGAGTGATCCTTCAAAACTATAAATTTTGTCATGTCATTCCACTGCTTAAATTTCCTCAAAGACACCCTTCTGTTCTTGCTTTATCATCTACATGCTCCCAAAAACCAGGCATTAGAAATACTTGTGGTGTCCAGAACACATTCTGAATATCTGGGTCATCTTTGCACATGTTCCATTTGCCTATGATATCCTTCCTCTCTTTTTGAGTGGTAATTCCACTTTTCTTCAAGACTCAAGTTTCCAAGTCTTCTGGAAAGCTACTTTAAGGCATCAGTGATTAAGGACCTCTCCTCTATGTGCTACCAGGGCATTCTATACACTTTTAGCACAGCCTCATCCATTTTCTTAGGTGAAAACTCTCAACAGATTTTGGAAGCCTCTAGCCACAATTGATTGGCCACATGACACAAGGGCCCATTTTACTGGCTAACAACAACCTATAATTTGGGTGGTTTGATCAAATCCACTTAAACAATCAGATTCTCTCTCTTGGGCTAAAAAGTCACTTATACTCAGGGCTTGGGCCAGATGCCAAAATACTGAGTACAAAATAAGTCTGCAAAGAAAATAGAGCAGATACACGGAAACAAACTGAGCAGACAATAAAGCCTCTGAGAAGAGGCAGACAGTCGCCTTGGATGCTGATTATCTTTCTGGTTCCCAGTCCCCATGAGGCCTACTTAATACTAGTCTTTATTTCAATTTAGGAGAATATTCATCTTTTTAATAATTTTCTCTCTTCACGAGCTAGACTGGGTAGGGCTGTTTCTGTCTTTTGCAATCAGTACTCCCCACCCCCGCAAAAAAACCTATAATTACAATAAGCTACTAAAGCCCTAGCAATTACAAGTATACTCTCTTTTAGCACTGAAATCTTCAAGAACCTAACAAACCACCACTGAAAGTACATTCCCTAAATGGACAGATCCTTCTGTGAAAGAATGGAAACCTAAATAATCACTATTGAAAACTGAAAACACATTTTCCAATACCCCTACTTAAAACCCAGATCATTTCAAATTTAAAACATCCAAAGGAAAAGGAAATATGAGCCTGGATGGTAAAGCAACTTCATGTTATGACAGACTACAAAGATTTGAGAAGCCCAGAACTGGATAAGAAAGGCTGACCTGTGCGAACCAAGCATTATCATAGAAGTGTGGACACCAGACACAGCTACACCACTGTTCTAAAGAATTTTATCTTCATCTCCAATTACCTTTCTTAAAATACAGAATAGAGATCAACTTACGTTAACACTATTTTATTTTGAGCATTACAATCTAAAATACAATACAGTGGCAAGCCTAAATACAGAAGATGAATTTCTCAACAAATGTGTATTTATTTATACTTCATTGTTTCCAAGTTTTATATTTACAGCTTCCATTTTAATACATCTAATCTTTTAAATATTTATTTTTAATTAAATAGAACTGTCATCTTTAAGTGTAATTTTGACCTAGAGTTTTAATTTTTAAAAGGGCGTTACATATTCCATTTGGTCTAAACATATGCTTCTAAGGGAAGTAGCAGGAGACCAAAATAGCAAATTTTATTTCCACCTCATTTGTTGAATAAAATTTTGTTTTTGTTTTTTTTTTCCAAATATAAAACTTTCTACAATCGTTTTTCCAAAAATTCAGAATTTCTGACTAGGAGTTTATTTATTTTTTAAAAAGATTTGTTTATTTGACAGAGAGAGACACAGCGAGAGAGGGAACACAAGCAGGGGGAGTGGGAGAGGGAGAAGCAGGCCCCCCCGCCGAGCAGGGAGCCCGATGCGGGGCTCGATCCCAGGACCCCGGGATCGTGACACGAGCCGAAGGCAGACGCTTAACGACTGAGCCACCCAGGCACCCCCTGACTAGGAGTTTAATGCAGAAATTACAGAACCAAATTTTTGAGCATCAGTTTAATTTCCTAGGCTCTAACTGGTTATTTTGTTTTTCATTAAACTTGGTGATGGCACAGTACAATCGTTTTAAAAAAAAGTCAAGTGGTACTAATATATCCAGTCTTTTACTGTAGGGTCTATCAAAAAGGATATACTCCAAAGCATGGACAAAGTACACAGACTTATGTATAAAAATATTAACTGACACATAATTTGTAAGTGTTTCTCAGCAGGACTTTAGTGGTACTTTGGATGGCACAATTTTTCCTTATGTTAAGATCTTCTATGAATTACTGACACTTGCCCACCAAATGCCAGAAGGCGCTCCTACCAATGCAGACAATCAAAAAGATACATTTTCAAATGTTTCCAGCTAAAATCCATTGACTTAAAACACCAATACAAAGGAATCAATATAGCTAATGACAATTTGAAAAATACACTTAAGACATAATTACAGCCTTTTAAATGTTATTACTATAAATAAGACACAGGAATATGGAAAAATACTTATATGTTGAATGAAAAAAGTTCACCATCAGTGTATAAATCCTTTGATTACACTACATTAAAATAAGCACATATTAAAAGGACTGCAGGCAAACAGACAGAAATGAAGAGAGAAGATATGAAGAGAGAAGATCATTAAGTGGTGTTTTTCTCTCTTTCTCATAAAATGGCTATATTGGTTCTAATTTTTTTAACTAAATAAATAAGCAGTTGACACATTTTTCCTTGCTTATTAATACTTCTGAAGTCCAGAGAAGTGAAGAAAACCAGCAAAAAAAAAAAAAAAAACCACAGGTGTTAATGTGAGACATAATGTTAGAAATCAGGATAGGATTAGCCTTCGGGGGTTAGTCACTTGAAGGGGGACATTGGGAAAATGCTAGGGTGCAGATAAGCCTGATGTGGGTGCTGATTACACAGGTGTTCACTTTGTGGAAATTCATCAAGCTGTATTTTTATCCATACACTTTTCTGTATGTACAGTATACCTTAAAAAAAAAAAAAGGTGACTAAAAAACTACAAAAGTTTCTTACTGTGGTAAAAAGGTTTTCATGACATGATATTCATTTGTTGTGCAACAAGTGAAAACAAAAATTCTGGGTATTTATCATCCGGCAGCACAAAAAAGAGCACAATTAAGAATTTTTAACATAGGGGCGCCTGGGTGGCTCAGTCATTAAGCGTCTGCCTTCCGCTCAGGTCATGATCCCAGGGTCCTGGGATGGAGCCCCGCATCAGGCTCCCTGCTCAGCGGGAGACCTGCTTCTCCCTCTCCCACTCCCCCCTGGCCTGTGTTCCCTCTCTCGCTGTGTCTCTCGCTGTCAAATAAATAAAATCTCTTAAAAAAATTTTTTAAAAAAGAATTTTTAACATATATAATGAATGTTCACACTAATTACCGATGTTTAAAAACTAAGAAACTGAATCCCAGCCTCATTCCAAGAGTTAAATTTAAAATGTGAATTTTCATATTAGCAAATTCTTAAAATGTTAATGAGAAACTGTTTTCACATTCTTTTAAAGAAACGCATTTCCAAATTTAAAACAAATGAAATTCTACTCAGGTTCCAAACATGAATCATAAAGTACTATTTCCGAGACACTACAAAACAGTTATCTGTCTTCAATACAACTACTACTATTGCACTGTTACCCTTTTCAGCTCAAATTTGCAAACACATCTTTAATATAAAAACCAGGTTATGACAACTTCACCATAGAGCAGAAAACACACTGTTAGTAAAGCATGGCAGTATTTTTGAAAAACAGTAATAAGGGATTACACTTCAGGAAAAACTGATTAAGAATTTTGCAGGGCCCATATGTGCTATGTTTATGTTACAATTTTGCAAAACGTATTACAGTTTGTGACACACTAACTCCACCATGTTTAAGTAAACAGCTTTTTATTCTCTTTGACTTTGAAACTCCAAGTAATTAACATGTGATTTCAAAAAACAGCCCATCACTAAATGTCAGAGAATAACTGGCAGCATACTGCCACCCATACCCTGGTTTTAACTATGAAAGTGGTATTATGTTGGCGTTGAATAATATTCTGTGATATACTTCTTCTACGAGATACCTTATTACCACAACCTTGAAAGCAAGGTTAGTTTACAAAGGTTCATATACAAAATATTTTACTGCTTGATTCCAATTCTTAAGGGTACAGCCCTCTCCCAAACACTTCTCAATTAATAAAAAAACGTTCTGAATGCTGAAATGAAGAGACAGCAGAAAGCATTTTCAAAAGTTAAATAAGATATGCAAACTATAAATGCCGCAGCTGGTCAATAAATATGTATATACATGCACTTATGAAGTATTCTTGACAAAAATGTATTATCTGAATCTAATCATGTAGAAACAATCTATATAAGCCCAGATTTACAAACTACAAGACAAAATGTCAATGTCATGAAACACTTTTAAAAAGGTGACAGGGGACTGTTCTGGATTAAAGGAGGTAACAACCAAATAAAATGGGTGGTTTCTCATTACATTCTAGACCAAAAAAAGAAAAAGAAAAAACACATGGTTATAATAACTGGGAAAATTTAAATATGAACTACTTGTTATACCTTATCAATGTTAAATTTCTTAAACATGTTAATAGTATTGTGGTATTGTAGAACAATGTACCTGTTCTGAAGAGATACATACTTAAGTGTTAAGGAATAAACAGTCATGGTGTCTGCAACTACTTTGAAAAGGATGGGAAGAAAGAGGGAGTTTAAGTATAGAGAGGGAGACAACTCAACTGGCAAAGAAGGAATACAGGTGAAGGAAACGTGGGTGTTATTCTTTCAACTTTTTCGTATACATTACATATTTCAAAACAAGAGAGGAAAAGAAAATTTAAAAAGTAAAATTTAAAAATCCAAACACTAACCTTTACCAATCAGTATCTATGCTGTGGCAATGCGATGTACTTACAGATAGAAACCGAAAGAAAACAGGTCTACACGCATCATTATGAAATAAACCAAAAAGTGAAATACAGATTTTTTTTTTTTTAAAGAAAAAAATCCTGGGCAACTACTAGCTCTTCCTTCAAAGGATTTTGACACAATGAACAAAATACTGAGGATTTTAAGATTCTAAGCTCTATCTTAAAAAAAAAAAAAAGTATGTGTAATAAAGTGAACAACCCACAAACCCCTTACATATTTTGAGTAGATAGTACTATACAAGGGAAATCTTACTTCAAAATACAGTGCTTGGGAAGTGGCCGCGAGTTGTAGACTTTTTAAATAGAGACAGACTTTTAAAGCATCCAACAGGGATAATCCTGCACCGACTAATACTCTTTATGAAAGGCTTATGACAGCGTGACCTTCAAAGCGGAAATTTTAATCCGCTGCCAAAAGGGCGAATAAGACATGATATTTAACAACATGGATGGGCTCGGTCAGATTCACCAAGAAGATGCTCAATTTGTGAACACCGCCCTGGGGAACAAATACAGCCCTAACTCCAATCTGCCATGAGCCGCAGGCTTTCCAATCAGTAACAACGGCCTGACACTAAGACCCTAACAAGTGGACAGTTTCTCCGGCGCGGTCTCTGCGATTTTCACATTGCAAAAACGCTAACAGGCGTTTGCCATGAGGACTATTCCGGGCCCACCTGCGGCCATCTTAAGTTCGGGAAGAAAAAGGAAAAGGGGGAGGCACTGAATACGAGGACCCGACGGAGACCAGAAACCGGGGATGCACGAAAAAACAACTTCTCTAAATTCTCTCTCAGGGCTCGGTGCAGAGGTTAACCCCCACAGTCTAACTAACAAGGAGAACAGGACCTCGGGGCCCTGCGCCCGGGTGCCCTAATCAAACATGGGCACCAGGGTAAGCCCGGGCGGTCACGTGACGGGCACCGCGCGCCCCCGTCCGCGCTCTCCCCCACGCCTCGGTGCCCGAGGTCTCTATGGCGCCCGCGCCCCTCCCCCAGCCGTGCTCGAGCACTTACTCTGGGGGGTAAAGCCGCAGCTCCTCGATTTCTCCTAGGAAGGAAAAAAGCGTCCGCATCTGCTCGCTGGTCACCGCCGACGACAGATTGGTCACCTGAATCACCGCCGTAGGGGTAAGGCCGAAGCCTAAAGCCAAACCGAAGCCGCCGCCGCTGTTCATCCCGACCCGCTGCTGCTGTCCTCCGCTCCCCAACGTCTACGACGCGTCAGCGACGGAGCCGGGAAAGCGAAGAACGCGCGGCCGCGAGCGCGCTCCCGCTGGTGAATTCACGGCGGCGGGCAGGTCTAGCCGCCCATTCCACAACTCCCCTGCTCCCAGGCTGCGCGCGCCGGCCGGAAGCGTCGCCCCGGCAACCCGGCGGGTCGGCAGAGGCTGTAGCCTCGGGCTCCCGGGTCTCCCAGCCGTAACTCTTGTCAGTGTTCTCCCTGTCGGGATTTTTGTCGATCCCCCCCGCCCCGCTTCATCTGAATCAAATTTCAGTACTCCTAAAAACTTAGGAGACCCAGCTCTTTCCGTTGTTAAATCTAGGTAGAACTGGGGAACCAAGAGGCCTGGCCTGCTGGTGCGGGGCTGGGAAGGAAGAGTGACTGGGGCAACGCAGATTAATGCTTCACCAAACTGTAGCGCGTCGTGACCACATGCAGGCCGCTCCCCCGCCCCTGCTATTGAAAACATTGGCCAAGTCCTAATTTAATAAAAAAGGAAGAAAGAAAAATTTAGAAAACGTTTAATTTCTGATTGAATTAAAAAAAGGAGGCAGTAAGGGCGCCTGGGTGGCTCAGCTGTTTAAGCGACTGCCTTCAGCTCACCTCATGATCCTGGAGTCCCGGGATCGAGTCCCGCATCCGGCTCCCTGCTCAGCAGGGAGTCGGCTTCTCCCTCTGGCCCTTCTCCCTCTCATGCCCTCTCTATCTCATTCTCTCTCTCAGATAAATAAATAAATTCTAAAAAAAAAAAAGGAGGCAGTAAGATGAACACTATGCGGTCATTGTTTATAACTAGTCATTTAGTCGCTCATTTCGCAGATACTAATATTTATTGAGCCTTACGTTCCAGACACTGTTACCTGTTAATAGAACTTGCAACCCATTGAGGGACAACTAAGTATGTGCAACTGAGCAGCTGCCCCCAAAATGCCATCCCCAGAACCCTGCTGAGGGTCCTGGAGGCCCTTTCAGTGGGTCCACAGGGCCAAAACAATTTTCTTTCTCTCTTTTTTTTTTAAGATTTTATTTATTTATTCGACAGAGAGAGAGAGACAATGAGAGAGGGAACACAAGCAGGGGGAGTGGGAGAGGGAGAAGCAGGCTTCTCACTGAGCAGGGAACCCGATGCAGGCCTCGAGCCCAGGACCCTGGGATCATGACCTGAGCCGAAGGCAGACATGCTTTTTTTTTCTCCCAGTATCCTTTTTTTTTAATTTTATTTTATTATGTTATGTTAGTTACCATACATCATTAGTTTTTGATGTAGTGATCCACGATTCATTGTTTTCGTATAACACCCAGTGCTCCATGCAGTACGTGCCCTCCTTAATACCCATCACCAGGTTAACCCATCCCCCCACCCCTCCCCTCTAAAACCTTCAGTTTGTTTCTCAGAGTCCATAGTCTCTCATGGTTCATCTCTCCCTCTGATTTCCCCCGCTTCATTTTTCCCTTCCTTCTCCTAATGTCCTCCATGCTATTCCTTATGTTCCACAAATAAGTGAAACCATATGATAATTGACTTTCTCTGCTTGACTTATTTCACGTAGCATAATCTCCTCCAGTCCCATCCATGTTGATGTAAAAGTTGGGTATTCATCCTTTCTGATGGCTGAGTAATATTCCATTGTATATATGGACCACATCTTCTTTATCCATTTGTCTGTTGAAGGGCATCTCGGCTCTTTCCACAGTTTGGCTATTGCGGACATTGCTGCTATGAACACTGGGGTGCATATGGCCCTTCTTTTCACTACATCTGTGTCTTTGGGGTAAATACCCAGTAGTGCAATTGCTGGGTCATAGGGTAGCTCTATTTTTAATGTTCTGAAGCACCTCCACACTGTTTTCCCAAGTGGCTGTACCAACTTGCATTCCCGCCAACAGTGTAAGAGGGTTCCCCTTTCTCCACAACCTCTCCGACATTTGTTATAATGACAGAGCTACCCAGGTGCCCCAAAACAATTTTCAATATAATGCTAAGACTTTGTTGACCTTCTTCACTTTGTTGGCACTTGCACTCCTCGTGTAAAAGCAATACTAGATTAAACTGCTGCACCTTAGGAAGAATCAAGGCGCTGGTGCCAAACTGCACTAATAGGGGTATTTTGTATTCTTTACCTCCTTGCAATCATAGCATACAAAATTTAAAATTGTTTCAATAAGCTAACCTAAGAATGTCCTTGACAAAGGGGTAAAAATTATTAATTTCATTAAATGTTCACACTAGCATACCCATCTTTTTAATGTGTGGAGAGAAATGGTAAGTACTTATGTTGCATGCCCAAGTAAGATGGTTATCTCCAGAAAATGCACTCGTGTGGATTGAGTATTCACACAAAAATACAAATTTTGTAAAACTTGTATATACCCCCTTAAGCTGCAGCTTTACAGTACTTTTCCGCTAAAAAATACCAGTGATATTAACACATGTATTTTTTGACATTATATAATGAGATATGGGAACATTTGAAAGATCTCTACAGCTCAACCAACAACTATTTTCAAAATAGCCAATGCATGCTATTACAAAATCAAATGAGTCATCAAAGTGGTAGATAGACTCATGGATTTTAATGTAGCAGAATACAAAAAGTTAATTGATACAGTTTCCGATTCAGTCCACATTGCAACTGCACTCTAAGAAACTACCATATGTCAGGTTTGGTGTGGTATCAAAGAAGAATATCTAGAATTATCTAGAAAGGCTATGAAAATAGTTTTCCCCTTTCCAACTCCTTATCTATGTGAGACCAGATTTTCTTCGCATGTTTCAACCAAAATATATCACAACAGATTGAATGCACAGATATGAGAATCCAGCTGTCTTCTATTAAGCCAGACATTAAAGAGTTTTGAAAATGTAAAACAGGGGCGCCTGGGTGGCTCAGTCATTGAGCATCTGCCTTCGACTCAGGTCATGATCCCAGAGTCCTGGGATCAAGCCCCACATCGGGCTCCCTGCTCGGCAGGAAGCCTGCTTCTCCCTCTCTCTCTCTCCCTGCTTGTGTTCCCTCTCTCGCTGTGTCTCTCTCCGTCAAATAAATAAATAAAATCTTTAAAAAAAAAATGTAAAACAATGCCACTCTTCTCAAATTCTTTTTTGGAAAATATCATTTTATCATAAAAATACATCCTTTACATTAATATATAATAGGTTTTAAAATACTAAGTTTCTAATTTCTAATGTGCATAGATATCCCATAAATCTCTCAGGGTCCTCAATAATTTCTGAGAGTGTAAAAGCATCCTAAGTGAAGTCTGAGAACTACTACCAGAGGGATAAGCATAGACAAAATTGGGAGTACATAGGAGGGCCACTTAAAGTTAGTCCTAATGGAAGACTTTCTAGGAGAATTGTTGCTTGTGCTGAATTTTAAATAAACAGGAATTAGCCAGGCTGGAGGAGAGGAGGGTAGGCAGTGAGGGGCATTCCAGACTGAGTATGAGGAATATACAAATGCAGAGAGGTATGGGAGCCCAAGTGAGGTTCAGAATATTCAAAATTTATTCCTGCTAGACCAAAGGATGGTTAGAGATACATGAGAAAGAATAAGCTTTTTTTTTTTT